CCTTCATCCCATTCAGGGTGGAATCTGGGTGTGGCTGTATTCCTTGCCTGGGGCCTGGAGGGAGGAGTTATATCCTCAGGAGAAAATGGCTGCCCAAGTCCTGGGCTCAGGGGTGACTCAGCACTCAATTTGCTGTCACCTCTCCTGGACCCCCTTCTCTCCCCATCCTCTCCCCAGATTCCATTCGTCCGCACCTTCTCCCGCTCTTCAGCACGGGTGAGTGTCTGTATCCGAAATGTCCTATGAACAGGGTTCAGTGAAAACAAACAAACAAATGCCGGCTGCAGAAACGGGGAGGACTGATTCTCTGTAAGCTCCTCTCTTACCCGCACTGTGTGGTCTGGTCAGTGCTTCAGGCTGCCCCCTTTAGGCATAGTGCTACGTAATGACGGAACCCAGATCTCAAATCCCCCGGCACCAACAGTCCCGCGGATCTCCTTTCCAGTCAGGGGCTGTGCCTGTCCCAAGGGATGCGGCTGGGTGCCTCTGAGCCCAGAGGGCCAGAGGTCTGGCAAACTTTCCTGCCCAGATCCCTGGTTTTTACCTTTCCAGGGGAACTCTGCCCTTCCCAGCTGCAAACTGTCTCACCAGCTGAGTATACTTTGGCAATTCGGGGTGGGTGTTATTAGTTTCAGCTGCTCATTCTATTTGCTCCAGGACAAGCCTTGGGATGCGTCCGCCTATTCCACCTCCATCTTGAATTTATCCTCAAAGTGGTTTTGTTTTTTTTTTAAATAATCCTTTTGCCGATACTGGTTTGGCTCAGTGGATGGAGCGTCGCCCTGCGGAATGAAGGGTCCCGGGTTCGATTCCGGCCAAGGGCATGTACCTGGGTTGCGGGCACATCCCCGGTGGGAGATGTGCAGGAGGCAGCTGATCGATGTTTCTATCTCTCTCCCTTCCTCTCTGTAAAAAATCAATAAAATATATTTTAAAAAAATAATCCTTTATTGTTGAAAGTATTACATATGTCCCCTTTTATCTCTCGATGCCCTCCAGCCCAACCCCACCCCCAGGCCTTCAGCACCCTATTGTCTGTGTCCATATATGCACACAATGTGTTTTAGGTAAGCTAAGTGTTATTTCGAGTCAAAAGTTAACAAAAAGTTATAAAGTAAAATAGTTACAGTAATCTAAGTTTTACTTATTAAAAATACTTTTTGCCAAACCAGCATGGCTCAGTAGTTGTTTTGACCTTTGAACCAGGCCAAGGTTTGATTCCCTGGTCAGGGCACATGCTCAGGATGCGGGATCAATCCCCAATGGGGAGCATGTAGGAGGCAGCCAATTAATGATTCTCTCTCCCTCCCGGAAATGAATAAAAATATTATTTAAAAAATATGTTTAATTAATTTAGTTTAGCCTAAGTGCACAGTGTTTATAAAGTCTATTGTAATGCCCTGTTGGGAGCCATTATAAATCACATATACATCTCCAGCTTACAACAAGAGGTTTCTGGCTCCTCCAAGCCAACTCCCGATTTGGCCTGGAGTTAAAAGTTAACCTTGCGATTTAGCCTGGAGTTAAATAACATACCCTCACCCTAAGCACAAAGCTGCTACATCTCCGCTGATAAGCTGCGACATTCCAAAGCCTGTTTCATCCTTAACGACTTCCTTTGGCCACCCCCTCCTCTAGAAGCAGTATAAATACCACTCGCTGTAAAGAATAAAACTGAGGCTTGATCAGAACTTTGTCTTGCCTCCATTTCTTCGCGTCTCCTATCCTCTCATTCCTTTGCAGGATTTGGTGCGGTGTACCCACGAAGCGTGCCCTGCAGGTCGGGGCAATGCCCTCTAGATCTTCACATTCACTCACCACTCACCTACAGAACCTTCCAGTCCTGTAAGGTCCATTCACGGTTAAGTGACCTTTAAAGGTATACCATTTTTTATCTTTTATACCGTATTTTTACTGTGCCTTTACCATGTTCAGATGTTTAAATATACAGGTTCCACTGTGCTACAAGTTCTTTCAGTACTCAGCACAATAACATGCTACATAAATCTGTAGTCTAGGAAAAGACTATACCAGGGGTGGGCAACCCTTGGCACATGTGCCAAACATGGCACACCAGTAACTTTCGCTGTCACGCGAAACCCTCTCTTATAATCTTCCATTTACAATTGTTGTGAACATTTGAATGACTTAAATGTTAAATTACAAGGAACTGGCAAGACACTTGATGTTATGTTTAGCTATATAAAGGCTTTTGAAAAGAAACTAGAAGTCTTGAAGAGGGATGTGGATGGTGAGAGATTTAGATATTTCCCAAACCTCAAGAGGCACATCAAAGACTTCCCAAAAGATGACAGAACAGACTGTCAATGCCTTTAAAAGCTGTTTTTAAACATCATTGAGTCAACTATTGAGCAGTTCTTCTCAAGATTTACAAAATTCAGAGAACTGGAAGAGACAGCAAAACTCATGAGGTTTCCAGACAGCATGAAACTAGAGGAACTGAACATACAAATGTTTTCATGGATAGACATGGCTGACTTTGAAATGCAGTTGATTGAATTTCAGAGTAGCTCAATTTGGAAGCAGAAATTTGACCTTAGAGTTGACTTGGAAAACATTGAAAAAAAGCGACTAGACAGGAGTACCAGAGAGAAGTGTCAAAAACGAACTATTGAGGACTTGGAATGCCATTGCAGAAAATGTTTTCTGTTTAAAAAACTTTGCAACAGCCCTAACCGGTTTGGCTCAGTGGATAGAGCGTCGGTCTGCGGACTCAAGGGTCCCAGGTTCGATTCTGGTCAAGGGCATGTATCTTGGCTGCGGGCACATCCCCAGTAGGGGGCGTGCAGGAGGCAGCTGGTCAATGTTTCTCGCTCAATGTTTCTCTCTATCCTCCCTTCCTCTCTGGAAAATTAATAAAATATATTTTTAAAAAACACAAAGCTTTGCAACAGCGTTACTCTCTGTTTTCATCCACATACGCTTGTGAATCTTTGTTCTTAGTGATGAATTTTGTTAAGTCTCGTAATAGGAGTAGCCTGACGGATGAAAGTAGTAGCTCGTGCATATCTCTGAAGGTCACGAAATATAACCCTGATGTAAAATCTGTCATCAGTGATGCAGCAGCAAAAGTCCCACTGATAATATCAAACGGAGTCATAAAGTTTTTTGTCGGACAATCAGTGTACATGTATACATTAAAAAAATAAATGTATTTTTCATCATATACTGTATTTTTGTCGCTCGAATGAATTTTATTATTTCTTACGGTGTTCTTTGTATACCTTAAGGGATATCAAGTAGGCATAACATGTTCTCAAAAAATTAGGGTTGGCACACAGAAGAATTTTGAGTCAGATTTTGCTGGTTTTGGCACGCACTCACAAAAAAGTTGCCCACCCCTGGACTATACCATATAGTGTAGGTGTGCAGTAGGCTATGCCATCTAGATTTGTGTAAGCCCACTCTATGTTTACACAATTACAAAATTGCCTGATAAAGAGACACATATTTTTATTCACATATCATGAAAAGTAATTAAGAACTTTGAAAGAATACATTCACCTACAAGTAAGAGGAAACCCCCAGTCTTCCAGGTAGGAAAAATGTGCTTATGCTCACATTTCACACATGAAAGGACCAAGTCAAAGCAGCCAGTGTACAATGCAGTGGAGAAACTAACTCCCATATCCTTCTTAGTGACTACACAATTGTAGATGTCACAAAGTGAATTGGGAACACAGTATTTAGCTCTGTTGACAGTATAAGGTGTCTCCTATACAAATGAGATATTATATAATCTAAAGAGGGGAATTAGACATTATTCCAATATTAAAGTCTGAATCAGTTTCCTGGCTTACAGAAAAATGCTAACCCTGATGAATCATTGATGTGGGTCTTCTGAAAATATCAGTGAAAATCTACTCTTAAAAAAAAATGAATATGAAAGAGTTGATGGAAGTTCTGAGGATACTCTTAATTGGAAGTGGAAAATCCAGAAAATGATATAAAACATTATCCTCAGGGGAACATCCCAGCTCTAGATTTCTGTCCTTATTACAGGTATTTCTTCTCACATCGAAGTCTATTAAGCAAATAGAAAAAAAAACAAAAAATAAAACTCCAAATATTAAGAGAATTCACATAAAACTATAATATTGCATAAACTTGCCTTATTCAACTATTCCAACTGTTTATGTGTATAAAGTTCTTATACTTGTCAACCAAAAGGAGAACTTTTGATAGAGTTACTAAGGTAGAGTATATATAATGAACTAGGGATTTACAGGTACTGCTACAAGACCAGTAGAAAAATCCCAATAAATACCACAGTCAAAATTCAATGGCCTCTTAGCACAAGCTAAATAAATATTATAACAAACTAATCCTAATTGCATATTAGAAGTAAACTTTGCCCAACCAGTGTGGTTGGGTGGTTGAGTGTAGACCTATAAATCATGTCATGGTTCAATTCCTGGTCAGGCCCCATGCCCGGGTTTTGGGCTTGATCCCCATTAGGGGGTGTGCAGGAGGTAGCCAATTAATGATTATCATCATTGATGTTTCTCTCTCTCTCCCTTCCTCTCTGAAATCAATAAAAATATATATTAAAAAAAAAAGAAATGTCTTTAACTCACCCATCAATCCCAATAGGATTCAACATGATAGTGGAACAGATAGGGAGAAACAGCAATTGGTTGCCTCCTGCATGCATCTGACCAGGGCAGGGGAAAATTGCAACCAAGGTATTGACTCTGACCAGAATCGAACCCAGGTCTCTTCAGTGTTCAGGCTGACCCTCTATCCACTGAGCCAACCTGGCTAGGGCTAAACATTTATTAATGACTTGTGGTCTGGAACACTATACTACACATGAATTTCCATTAAGCTTTCCTTATGAATTCTCTTGTGTTTCTAAGAAACTGTAAGGTCTGTAGGCTTTACCAAACTACTTACATTCATAGGATTTTTTCTCATGATTTCTTCAATGACTTTTAAAGGAAGAGGAATAGCTAAAGGCTTTACCACATTGCTCATATTCATATGATTTCTCTGCTGTGCAGTTTAGTGTGTACTTTTAAGGTTTGGTAATATGAGGCCTTTTCACATTCCTTACATTCAATGTTTCAAGTATGACTTCTTTCATGTTTCTCAAAGCAAACAAAATATCTGAAGGCTTTACCACATTGTTTACATTCATAGAGTTCCTTCCCATTGTGCAGTCTCATGTGCCGTTTTAAGGTTCCGTTACGATGAAAGCCTCTACCACATTCCTTGCATGTATAGTGTTTCTCTCCAGTATGAATGCTCTCATGTAATAGAAAGGAAGAGTGATAACTGAAGGCTTTCCCACATTCCTTACATTCATAAGGTTTCTCCCCAGTATGAGTTTTTTCATGACTTTGGTAAGAACTGGAACAATTGAAAGCTTTACCACATTGCTTACATTCATATGGTTTCTCTCCTGTGTGAGTTTTTTTATGTTTTTGGAAGCCTTGAAGATATCTAAAGATTTTTCCACATTGTTTACATTGATACCATTTCTCTCCAGTATGAATCTGTTCATGTTTGTGAACAAACTGGGGATGCCTAAAGGATTCCCCACATTCCTTACATTTGTAAGATTTCTCTACACGTTTATAAAAAAAATGGCGGTAACTGGTTTTACCACATGTCCTAAATGTATAAGGCTTCTCTCTGTATTTGTCATATTCATATGGTTTGTGTCCAGTGTGACATCTGATGTGCCTATCAAGGGGTGAATGATGCATAAAGACTTTTCCACATGTACTGCATTCATGTGGTTTCACTGCAGTGGTCTTCTTGTTCAAAGTCATTTCTGAAATAAGATTGGAGTTGTCTTCACATTGACTACCCTCTTTAGTTTCACAGAGTCTCTCCGCCATATGATTTCTGTAAAAAACAAGTACGGTATTAATGATTTCTTTATTAGCAATTTTGTTTATTACGGTATTTGGACTGCATTTTTATGGTTTGTATCAAAGGGGTAGCATTTTTGCCCTGGCAAGACTGGTTCAGTTGGTTGGAGTGTGTGCAGGAGGCAACTGATTGATGTTTCTCTCTCTCTAAAATCACTAATAATAAGTTAGAAAGGGGTAGGTTTTCTGCTTTGATTTGTTTAAAGTTCAATATAAGAAATGTTCTCAATGGGGTTAGAAGGGAAACATATGTAATACTTTCAAGAATAAAGAATTGAAAAATGAAACAATGTTCTGCAAGAGGATTTCACCCTTCCTATTACTAAAACAGCAATAATCATATATAAAATTTAACAATACTGTTTTGAAGTAAGCTACTTCACAAACACTGAACATACATGTCTAATAAAAAGGTAATTTTGGTGAAAATGTTCTGTAAGTAAAAATTGAAGCAGGGATTATTTCCTTTTTAAAAAATTTCATGACATAATCAAATCTTCAAATCAGCCACTACTTTCTATTATAAATAGGACTCACCTTAGTTTTCTCCCCTGGTTTTTATACAATTCTTCAATGTCATGATCATCCCATTTCTTCCCTGAAATGCAAACAAAACAAATTCAAAATATTTATATTAGAGAAATATTAGATTATTGGTCCATTTTTTTTTTAGTTGTGACCATGCCTAGTTTATTTACCAATGTCCTATCTTTTCACAATCCAAATCTTGGGGGAAAAAAGCAATGACCAAGAAACACGTACCTATAATTGATGAAATGAAAATATATCCTTACCTATTGAGGCCAGGTTCTTGAAAGTTTGTCGCATTACATCTCTGTAAAGTTTCTTCTGTGAAGAATCCAATAAGGTCCACTCTTCTAGGGTGAAGGTTACAACCACATCCTCAATGGCCACTGAGTCCTAAAACATCCCAAATATATATTAGGATGTGTGAGACTGACAGCCCTGGATACCCAGACTCCATTTATAGGAAGGTTACATATGATTCCGTTGTCTCCAAATATTTATTCTATGACTGATCATCGTAAATTTACTCCCTTGTCCACTTACTTCATGGAAATTATTTGTGCACTTTTACTGTTATAACATTACATGTTACTGCTCTGCAACGGCAGAGTTCACAGCATGTTGAGAAATAACAGAATGCTTTAAACACACACACACACACACACACACACACACACACACACACACACATATATATTTTTACTTTTTGTAATTGTGATTTGCATTTTAAAAAATATATTATTACTTTCAGAGAGGAAGAGAGAGTGATAAAAACATCAATGATGAGAATCATCAATCGGCTACCACCTAAGCACTCCTCCACCCCTCAGCCCATTGGGGATCAAGGCCACAAACCAGGCATGTGCTCATGTGCCTTGACTGGGGATGGAACTGTGACCTCCTGGTTCATAGGTTGACACTTAACCACTGAGCCACACCATCCATACCAAATACTATCATTTTAAGACCATCAATACTTTGTGAGAAAAGTTTTTATTCCTTTCCTTATACAGTTCTCCACTGTATAAGGCAGAATTTAATCAATAAAAACAAAATGAAGAACTAGACTCTTTTTCTTCCATTCTCATCACCACACATGAGAGTCCACGAAAGCTGTGGAAATACAACTTTTAATGAAGTCCAGCTGGCTATATTGTCCCTAAAGTACTCCAGGGCTTTAGTAGTCAATGCAGCTGGCAGAATGAAAACATTCTTGTTGGAGCCGAAACCGGTTTGGCTCAGTGGATAGAGCGTCGGCCTGCGGACTGAAAGGTCCCAGGTTTGATTCTGGTCAAGGGCATGTACCTTGGTTGCGGGCACATACCCAGTAGGGAGTGTGCAGGAGGCAGCTGATCGATGTTTTTCTCTCATCGATGTTTCTAACTCTCTATCTCTCTCCCTTCCTCTCTGTAAAAAAATCAATAAAATATATTTAAAAAAAAAAAAAAAGAAAACATTCTTGTTGGGAAGTATTGCTTGTAACTTGTTAAATATTCATCACAGATCTCTCTGTACACTTTGATCACCTTTTCTATGAACCTAGAACTGCTTCTTAAAAAAGCACATTAGGGGGAAAAAAGGACAGATTTGTTACAATTCACCCGATGACTGACTTGGATGAAACACACCATGTATCATTCAACTGATTTAAACTTATTTCAACAACCTAGCATGATACTCTATGAGCCTGAGACCAGTAAGGGAGGTAAAATTCCCATGGAACACCTTGTTGGAGAACCTAGGACTATACATTCTGAGAAATGCCATGGTTACTATCGGTGTCTGGAACTCCAACATGGATCAGCAGTTTCCTGGTGAGTCCTGATAGTGCAGACTTAGTAATAATGTACAGACAAGTGTTGCCTGGCTTTATATTTTGGGTATCTGATTAAAGACATTCCCAGAGTTCTTTTACCACAAAGGGGCAACTCTTAGACAAGTCCAAGAGTCTGTGAACATATGCAGATGGGGCCAATGTGGACTAGTAGTAAGGCGACTGCTTGATGCTTGGTTAGAGGTGGTGACTCTTGGGGTTTGTTCCACTATCAGAAATGAACCAATTGAACAACAACTCTCCACTAAGATCCATCATTTATTTATGTGTATTCTCATCCTGAAAGCGTGTGCAAGTCCCCAGTGCTGTCCACTCAGTGAATCCCAATACCACAGTCTCCTTCAATGGACTGAATATAGAAGGGGCAACCATCCTGCAGGTGGCATAAGCCATAGAAGCAAGATATCAGTAGGTGTCCATACCTGGTGTGGTACTGTTTTCTAGCCTAAAGCACAATGGCCAGCTCAGTTTAGGATCACATGCTCAGTCTTTATGAGCACCTCTATTACAAGAGGTCCTAATACATGATGATTATAGTTCTAATGGCACATAGTGGGTGGCCTAGGGCAGGTTCTTGCATCAGAAGCTAATGGATAACTTAAGACCTTCATAATTAACTCTAGGAGGCATGAAAGACCATTACTAAAGCCTCTAGAAGGAGACTCCAAGGTCACTAGTAGGAGTGCCAATTGTATGGTAATTTAAGTAGTCTAGAACCTTCTGTGCCAGCAACAACATAAATAGGCTAAAGTGAATTGGTAAATAAGGAAATTGTGGCCTCCCCAAATCAAGCAGATATTGTGGTTGCTGAGAGGGACTGTGGCTATTTCTTAGTGTCAGGTAGGCATGAAGTACTCAAGGTAATAAAAAGCAAGGTTCTGAACCAAGATTACTATATCCAGCAAGGCTATCATTTAAAATAGATGGTGAATAAAGAGCTTCTCAGGCAGCCCTAGCAGGTTTGGCTCAGTGGACTGAAAGGTCCTGAGTTCAATTCCGGTCAGGGGCACATGCCTGGGTTGTGGGCTCGATCCACAGTAGGAGGTGTGCAGGAGGCAGCCAATCAATGATTCTCTCTCATCATTGATGTTTCTATTTCTCCCCCCCCCCTTAGAAATCAATAAAAATATTTTTAAAGTGGCAATAAATAAGTACCTAGCAATAATAACTTTAAATGTAAATGGACTAAATGCTCCAATAAAAAAATATAAGGTAGCCGAAACCGGTTTGGCTCAGTGGATGGAGCGTCGGCCTGCGGATTGAAGGGTCCCAGGTTCGATTCCGGTCAAGGGCATGTACCTGGGTTGCGGGCACATCCCCGGTGGGGGATGTGCAGGAGGCAGCTGATCGATGTTTCTCTCTCATCAATGTTTCTAACTCTCTATCACTCTCCCTTCCTCTCTGTAAAAAAAAAAAATCAATAAAATATATTTAAAAAAATATATCTATATAAGGTAGCTAAATGGATACAAAATCATGACCCAACTATATGCTGTCTGCAAGAGACCCACCTCAGAACAAAAGACTCACACAGGATGAGAGTGAAGGAATGGAAAAAAAAATTTCCATTCAAATGGAAACGAAAATTTAAAAAGCTAGGGTAGCAATACTCATATCAGACAAAATAGATTTCAAAATGAAGGTCATTCCCCCAACTTCTTAGAGGGACAAGTGGCGTTCAGCCGCCCGAGATTGAGCAATAACAGGTCTGTGATGCCCTTAGATGTCCGGGGCTGCAAGCGTGCTACACTGACTGGCTCAGCGTGTGCCTACCCTACGCTGGCAGGTGCGGGTAACCCGTTGAACCCCATTTGTGATGGGGATCGGGACTTGCAATTATTCCCCATGAACAAGGAATTCCCAGTAAGAGCGGGTCATAAACTTGCATTGATTAAGTCCCTGCCCTTTGTACACACTGCCCAAAAAAAAAAAAAAAAAAATGAAGGCCATCACAAGATATATAAAAAATCATTACATAATACTAAAGGGATTGATCCAACAAGAGGATATAACTCTGGTACTAGTAAACATATATGCACCCAATATAGGAGCATCCAAATATATTTTAAAAACTACTAGAGGACTTTAAGGGAGAGATCAACAACTATAGTCATTGTAGGGGACTCTAACAACCTGCTGACTTCACTGGATAATCTTCCAGACAAAAAATCAACAAGGAAACAATGACTCTAAAGGACATACTGGGTCATGTGGACTTAATTGACATTTATAGAACATCTCACCCCAAAGCTGCAGAATATACATTCTTCTCAAGTGCATATGGGTCATTCACAAAAATAGATCACGTGTTAGGACACAAAACAAGTCTCTAAAAAAGTTCAAGATTGAAATTATATCAAGCATCTTCTCAGATCATACTGGAATGAAATTAGAAATCAACTACAGTAAAAACACTCAAACACATGGAGGTTAAATAGCATGTTATTAAACAATTAATGAATGGGTTACCAATGAGATCAAGAAAGAAATAAAAAACTTCCTGGAAACAAATGAAAATGAACACTCAACAACCCAAAATCTCTGGCACACAGCAAAAGCAGTCCTGAGAAGGACGTTCATAGCACTACCTCAGAAAACAAGAAAAATTAATAATAAACTATTCAACCCCACAACTTAAAGAACTAGAAAGAGAACAAGAAAATCCAGAGTAAGTAGAAGGAAGAAAATAATAAAGACTAGAGCAAAAATAAGTGACATAGAGACTAAAAAAAAAAACCAAAAAAAAACCAATATATATAAAAAAAAAATCAATGAAACCAAGAGCTGGTTCTTTGAAAGGATAAATAAGATTGATGGACCATTAGCCAGATTCATCAAGAAACAAAGAGAGAGGACTCATCTATAAAATCAGAAATGAAAGTGGAGAAGTAACCACTGACACCACAGAAATACAAAAGGTTGTAAGAAAATACTTTGAACAACTATATACCAATACGGTGGACAATGAGGATGAAACGGACAAATTCCTGGAAAAATACAATCTCCCAAAACCGAATCAGGAAGAAGCCGAAAACCAGAATGGGCCAATAACAACTGATGTAATAGAAGCAGTAATCAAACTAAAGCCTGGGTCCAGATGGCTTCACAGGGGAGTTTTACCAAACATAACGCCTATACTCAAACTATTTCAGAAAATCCAAGAGGAAAGAACATTTCCAAGCTCTTTTCATGAGGCCAGCATTATCTTAATTCCAAAACCAGATAAAGACACTACAAAGAAAGAGACTAACAGGCCAATATCCCCGATGAACATAGATGCTAAAATCCTCAATAAAATATTAGTAAATCGGATCCAGCAATATATTAAAAATATTATACCCCATGACCAAGTGGGATTTATTCCAGGGATATAAGGCTGGTACAATATTTGCAAATCAATAAATGTGACACATCAGATAAACAAATTGAAAGACAAAAATCACATGATCATATCAACCCTTTGTACGCCATAAGCATCTATAGATGCAAGTAGTGGACCTTCCTCACATGCCACGCGTCTATAGTGGCAAACCTCACATATCAACTCTGGTCACCCAATTTTAAAATCAGACTTGTTAGTGACATCTCTGGGTTTATAAAGAAATTTATGGTAACTTAAATTCATAAATATTCCAGCGTATATGGAAGAAATAGGGATGGTTTCCGTTCGGACCAGTTAACTGGTCAATAGACACAGAAAAAGCATTCGACAAAAATCCAACACCCTTACACAAAGGGGGAATAGAGAGAGCACATATCAACATGATAAAGGCCATATATGACAAATGTACAGCAAACATTATACTCAATGGGCAAAAACTAAAAGCATTTTCCCTAAGAACAGGAACAAGACAGGGATGTCCCCTTTCACCACTCTTATTCAATACAGTACTGGAAGTCCTAGACACAGCAATCAGACAAGAAGAAATATGAGGCATCCAAGAAGAAATAAAAGGAGGAAGTAAAACTCTCATTATTCACAGATGACATGATATTGTACATAGAAAACCCTAAAGATTCCATCAAAAAACTACTAGATTTAATAAATGAATTTGGCAAAATAGCAGGATACAAAATCAACAACCACAAATCGATGGCTTTTTGATACACCAATAATGAATTCTCAGAATACTAAAACACACACACACACACACACACACACACACACACACACCAAAAAATTAATACTTAGGAATAACCAAAAAATTAATACTTAGAATAAACTTTAACCAAGGACGTAAAAGACTTGTACTTGGAAATCTACAGGACCTTGAAAAAATATAGAGGAAGATATAAACAAGTGGAAGAATACACTGTGTTCATGGAGTGGAGTGGTAGAATTATCATTAAAATGTCCATACTGCCGAAACCGGTTTGGCTCAGTGGATAGAGCGTCGGCCTGCGGACTGAAAGGTCCCAGGTTCGATTCCGGTCAAGGGCATGTACCTGGGTTGCGGGCACATCCCCAGTAGGAGGTGTGCAGGAGGCAGCTGATCGATGTTTCTCTCTCATCGATGTTTCTAACTCTCTATCTCTCTCCCTTCCTCTCTGTAAAAAATCAATAAAATATATTAAAAAAAAAAAAAAAAAGGTCCATACTACTCAAGGCAATCTACAGATTCAATGCAATCCTTATTAAAATAGCAACAGCATATTTCACAGATCTAGAACAAATACTCCAACAATCTTGAGAAAGAAAAACAAAGTTGGAGGAATCACAATACCAGATATAAAATTATACTACAAAGCCACCGTACTCAAAACAGCCTGCTACTGGCACAAGAACAGGCATACAGATTAATAGAATAGAATAGAACAGAGAACCTAGAAATTGACTCAAGCCATTATGCTCAATTAATATTTGACAAAGGAGGCAAGAGCATACAATGGAGTCAATACAGTCTCTTCAATAAATGGTGTTGGGAAAATTGGACAGATACAGACTACCAACTCACACCATACACAAGAATAAACTCAAAATGGGTAAGACTTAAATTTAAGTCCGGAAACCATAAAAATCCTAGAAGAAACCATAGGCAGCAAAACCTGAGATATCTCTCGTAGCCATGTTTGCAGATACATCTCCTAGGGCAAATAAAACTAAGTAGAAAATAAACAAATGGGACTACATCCAAATAAAAACCTTCTGTACAGCAAAAGAAACAGTCAACAAAACGAAAAGGAAGCCCACTGTATGGGAGAACATATTTGACAATGATACATCTGATAAGGGGTTAATATCCAAAATATATAAGAAACTCATACAACTTAACAGAAGGAAGACAAACAATCCAGTTAAAAAATGGGCAAAGGACCTAAATAGACACTTCTCTAAAAAGGACATGCCAATGGTCAAGAGACATATGAAAAAATGCTCAGAGTCACCGATTATCAGAGAGATGCAAATTAAAATGACAATGAGGTATCACCTCACAGCTGTTAGAATGGCTACCATCAACAAATGCAAGTGCTGGCGAGGATGTGGAGAAAAGGGAACCCTAGTACACTGCAGGTGGGAATGCAGACTGGTGCAGCCATTATGGAAAACAGTATGGAGTGTCCTAAAAAAATTAAAAATGGAACTGCCATTTGACCCAGTGATCCCACTTCTAGGAATATATCCTTAAGAAACCCTGAAACACCAATCAGAAAGAATGTATGCACCCCTATGTTCATAGCAGCACAATTTACAATAGCTAAGACCTGGAAACAGTGCAGTGCCCATCAGTAGATGAATGGATAAAAAAGCTGTGGTTGCCCTGGCCGGTTTGGCTCAGTGGATAGGTTCGATTCTGGTCAGGGGCATGTGCCTGGGTTGCAGGCACATCCCCAGTTAGGAGGTGTGCAGGAGGCAGCTGATCGATGTTTCTGACTCTCTATCCCTCTCCCTTCCTCTCTGTAAAAAAAATCAATAAAATATATATTTAAAATTAATCAATATGTTAAAAAAAAAAAAAAAAGCTGTGGTAGAGACCTAGAGAGTATTATGGAGAGACCCAGAGAGTATTATGCTAAGCCAAATAAGCCAGTCAGAGAAAGACAAGTATCACATGATCTAACTCATATGTGGAATCCAATGAACAAAATAGATTGAGATGTAAAAGCATGGAACAGTGGAATTTCAGAAGGAAGGTGGGGGAGGGTGATTGGGAAGAGATCAACCAAAGAATTTGTATGCATATATGCATAACCCATGGACACAGACAATAGGGTGCAGAAGGCCTGGGGAAGGGGTGGGGACTAGAAGGAGTCAATGGGGGGAGGGAGGTGAAGGGGAGAGATATGTGATACTTTCAACAATAAATATTTATTTTTAAAAAAATGAAAAGATAACATCTAGGTCTTAATTACATTTCAGCTCCAGGCCCAGAAAAGTAGCAAAACCAGACAAGTGTCCCTCAGGACTAGCTACATTGACTAATGACCCCCCTAGGGGGCCCAGGCACGGACCAACCAGTGGAGACCCTGACCCAGAAAGAGCACACTTGGAAAGCTGAAGAATATTCATCAAGACCTCCCCTGACAACTCCCCTAAGATTTCCACCAGCAAGAAAGAGATAAATAGGCTCAGGACAAAGGCCCCAGGGCATGCTCTCCCTCCAGAGACCACACCCATCACTGGTGATATTCCCTTCCCCCACAGGCACGTTTCCTCC